TATCATAACTCTCCTCCTTGGGACTGCACTTTTGCAAGGTGAGTTAACTCTTCAACCTTGGGAACTATGCAAAAACAATGAATGCAGTCAAACCTATAATATCTCGGTAACCTTCACAGCCAAGTGCAAGTGAATAATGTTAGTTTAAGTGTTGGATCTATTGAATATGTTAGTTCTACCTGGGTTAATGTTCGTTCTAGCCGTTTCCGTGTTAGTTCTAGCCATTCTCGTGTTAGATAACGCAAGGTCTAGTTTAAATGTGGGTTCTAATGCCTATGTTAGTTCTAGTTGTGTTCTAATGACTATGTTAGTTCTAGATTAAATGTGATAGTTCTAGCTGATCTCGTGTTATTTCCACCTTCAGATAACTTTAAGTTCTAGTTTAAGTTTTGGTTCTATTGGATATGTAAGTTCTAGCTGCCCTCCTGAATAGTTCTACCCCTTCTCGAGTTAGTTCTACTTCGTGCTGGCGTTATCTCTAGCACAAGTGTTTGTTCACGCGGCCATGTTAGCCCTAGCCCACTCCTAGTTAGTACGCGAGCTTCCCTCATGTTAGTTCTAGCCCATCTCGAGTTAGTTCTACTTCGTGCTGGCTTCATTTCTAGCGAGTATATCTATCTTGTTTGTTTATATGCATGTGAGTTATTATCTTGTATATGTTCATTTCCTTCATGCATATATTCCTTTTTGTAAATTGTTTGTCATCATCAAAAAGGGGGAGATTGTTGGCCTTCTTGTTTTGATGATGTTTAACAAACAATTTATTACTAATGTTGTTTGTCTAGTGTTTGTGCATTCCTATGTTTTGTAGACAAACAACGTTGTTGGAGGATGGATGGAATAGAGCTTCAACGATCATATCCAAAGGAGGTTGGCGGAATGTCGGTGAAGCCTTGCTATTCAAAGTTCAAGATCCAAGTTCAAGCTTCATCCGCGAGATTACCAAGTCAAGCTTATTGAAGATCAAGATCATTGCTTGGGTAATTTAGTTTAGGAATTTATATTATGTGTGTTAGTACTTTAAGCTCAATCATATACACACATACACGTTTTGGTTTTTGTATATATATAGTTATATATATACATATATGTTTTGGTTTGATAGTTTTCAAGTTTTACTATGAAACAAATGAATAGAATTGGAAAATACTATTTTGTTTCATGTTTATATGCCTATATATGATTTCACCTTTAACAAGCTTATATTTAATGAAATCATATTTAGTGTTTTGAATATATTGCATAGAATATGCAATTTTATGAAAATATTGTATTTCTAGGTTATAGACTTCATAACAACATGTTATATCTTTTATCAAGTCTATACAATCATTTCATAAGGTTTCAAAATGTTGTTTAAGTCAAAATATCAAAATATCAATTTTCAGGTTTTCATGTTTTGGACTATTTTGCAAAATGATGATATTTCTCATTTGGGAAGTCTTTTTAGAAAACCAGTTTTTGTAGCATGTGTATTATCATGTCTACAATCATTCCCCAAAGTTTTATTTTTTCTGAATTTATTTGATATTTTTAAACAGTGTTTTAAAATCAGCTCTAAAACCGATTTTCTGGAAATATCAGTTTTCGGTCGACCGGTACGGTCGACCGGTCAATTGACCATTCGTCAGTATTTTTCCAGAGAATCTTCGGTCGACCGGTACGGTCGACCGAGAGCTCCATCGGTCCGACCGACAGAATTTCCGGTCGACCGACGATGGATCTTTCCCATCGGTCGACCGAATGCTTTCCATCGGTCGACCGACGAGATTTCCGGTCGACCGACAAAAGAGCCGTTGGCTCCTAACGGCTATTTCCTGAGCAGATTTCTGGGGGCTTTTCTGTCTTTTGTTTTGGGTGTTTTTGCTGAGATTTCTAGTGGGTATAAATACCCCTTTGCTGATATCTTTTCAAGCATCTAAGAGATTGTTTTAAAATAGTTTAACAAGGGTTTAAACATGTTTAATGTTTGTTTAAGTTTGGTTTAAAAAGCTTTTAAGCAATTGAGGGTTTTAGTTTGTGAAGCAAATTTCACAAGAGCAAAGAGGAGATCATCCTTTGGTGTTTGGGCATTCAACTCATCTCTCTCTCACTCTTGATCTATAGAGAAGTTTTCCTTAAACTCAATTCTAGCTATTTATTGTTTTGATCTTAATTTCCATAAGCTAGATTTCTATATTGAGTTTAATCGTTTTATTGATACTCTTTGTTCACACACAACCTATTGAGCTTATTGTATTTACATTCATAGTATAATTTAGGGTTGTGGGTTTGTGACATTGAGAGTGAGTTTAATTGAGTTCTCACCTTGTTAGAGAGAACAATCATTTACTGTATTTGTGCTTAATTGTGAGATCACTTTGTAATACACTTGTACACCGAGTGAGGAGTGTGTGGTGAGAGTCGGGGATCGTCCCAAGAGGAGTGGCGTCGGTTGACGTGCCTAGGGAGAGGTTGTAACCGAGCACTTGAGGGAGACACGGCTAGGTCCAACACTTAGTGGGTATAGAGTGTGATTACAAGAGTGTGAGTTGTGGAGTTTTCGGTTAGCTAGAAAACCGAGTGTGTAGAAGAAGTTCCGGCTTCCAAACCGGATTGTGTTAGTGGATTTCTCCCCGAGAGTGGGGAGCGGAGACGTAGGACGGAAGGTCCGAACTCCGTGATCATATCGCTTGTTTGAGTTTGTCTTTGGCGTAGTTGTTTTTACATTTATTTTATTCTTATTTATGCTCATTGCTCATTTCGCCATTGTCTCATTATTTATATGATCCACTATCTAGTTCATATTGTTTACCCCTTGTGTTAGTTTATATATCATTGCATATATATAATTCATCATCTAGGATATATCTCATTGTTTATATTGCATATTCTTGCACATAACTCTTTGTATATCTATCTTGCAAGAATATATTTGTTAATTAGTTTTAATTGGCATTTAATCGGATTAGATTAGCATAATACCCTAATCACCCCCCTCTAGGGTCTAACACTAGCTGTCCTACTATTAGTTCTACAATATCTCGAGTTAGTTCTACTTCGTGCTGGCGTTATTTCTAGCACAAGTGTGTGTTCTGTTGGCCATGTTAGCCCTACCTAACTGCTTGTTAGTTCTAGCTGCCCTCCTGTTAGTTCTATCCCTTCTCGAGTTAGTTCTACTGCGGGCTGGCGTTATTTCTAGCACAAATGTTTGCTCTGGTGGCCATGTTAGCCCTACCTCACTGCTTGTTAGTTCTAGCTGCCCTCCTGTTAGTTCTATCCCTTCTCGAGTTAGTTCTACTGCGGGCTGGCGTTATTTCTAACACAAGTGTTTGTTTTGGTGGTCATGTTAGCCCTACCTAACTGTTTGTTAGTTCTAGCTGCCCTCCTGTTAGTTCTATCCCTTCTCGAGTTAGTTCTACTGCGGGCTGACGTTATTTCTAGCACAAGTGTGTGTTCTGTTGGCCATGTTAGCCCTACCTAACTGCTTGTTAATTCTAGCTGCCCTCCTGTTAGTTCTATCCCTTCTCGAGTTAGTTCTACTGCGGGCTGGCGTTATTTCTAGCATAAGTGTTTGTTTTGGTGGCCATGTTAGCCCTACCTCACTGCTTGTTAGTTCTAGCTGTCCTCCTGTTAGTTCTATCCCTTCTCGAGTTAGTTCTACTGCGGGCTGGCGTTATTTCTAGCACAAGTGTTTGTTTTGGTGGCCATGTTAGCCCTACCTCACGTTGTTAGTTCTAGCTTCCCTCCTGTTAGTTCTATCCCTTCTCGAGTTAGTTTTATTGCGGACTGGCGTTATTTCTAGCACAAGTGTTTGCTCTGGTGGCCATGTTAGCCCTACCCTCACGCTTGTTAGTTCTAGTTGCCCTCCTGTTAGTTCTATCCCTTCTCGAGTTAGTTCTACTGCGGGCTGGCGTTATTTCTAGCACAAATGTTTGTTTTGGTGGCCATGTTAGCCCTACCTAACTGCTTGTTAGTTCTAGCTGCCCTCCTGTTAGTTCTATCCCTTCTCGAGTTAGTTCTACTGCGGGCTGGCGTTATTTCTAGCACAAGTGTTTGCTCTGGTGGCCATGTTAGCCCTACCTCACGCTTGTTAGTAACACATGTCCTCCTGTTAGTTATATCCCTTCTCGAGTTAGTTCTACTACGGGCTGGCATTATTTCTAGCACAAGTTTTTGCTCTGGTGGCTATGTTAGCCCTAGCTCACTTCTCATTTAACATGAAAATACTTACAACACACAACAACAACGTAGTTGTCTGTAAATGTACACGCAAAACAATTAACAACATATTAACAACATGAACATACTTACAACACCACAACAAAAACCTTGGAGAAAATTAAAATAATATTTACAAAAAAGGTGAATCGCGTGCATACAAAAGAGCAGCACAAAACTTTGCTCTATATTTTGCACAATCTCCTTTTGAAATTGTTATCGACCGTTTTTTGACAATGCTGTTAATGAATTCAATCATAAAGATCCCACAATCTAACGTTCGGCATTTAAGGGGAAAATATTACAATATTGAAAATGACTATGAACAAAAAATGAACAATTAAATTAGAAATGCATGAAACACTTACGGTCCTTGTTGTGGCACGGCAACTGACACAAGACCATGATGCTCCAATTTCCCCAATCCCCAATTACTCTCAATGAAACTCATAAACTTATTTATAAATTTCACAGCATCGGCGGTATAAATGGGGGAGTTGATTGAGGAGTAGTGATAGAATTTTGTCTCCTCTCTCACTAACTCTACCAGGTGCCAATGTCCGGAGCTGACAATCGGGATCAGAATTCTTTCACACTCCAAGAACTTCTGCAGAGAAACATTTTCCTTCATTCATTTTGCCACCATTTCAATATTTCCTTCTAGAAATGCTTGCTAAAAGATGCAATAATGTCAACATTGTGGGATAACATAATAATAATATCCACCAATTAGTGAAAAAAACAAGGATATACTTACTGCAAGCCAAGGTCTTATGACTTGTATCTTTCGATCATAACTATTAGTTGTTTCAATCTTGTTACAAAGCCGAATAACAAATGCATCGATCACCTACAAAATTTACCATGAATGAATAAAATAGTTAATATAAATTATTTTATATACAACATCAAACAAACAATAACACAATTGTTTAGAACCTACATCGTCACTGAGTTCACCTCCCGTTAATAGTATATAAGCATCTAAGCGAGATACGCTTGCTTCGGCACACTTCCAAATGTACGTATCACTATATGCAAGTACATTGTGAGAAAATTGCTACTAGAATTAAGTAAATTCAAAGATTATTATTAGAATAAGTCAGTAACAGTTACCTGTTCATTCTCGATTGTAGAAAGTCTTCAATTAATTTGTTCTCATAATCAAACGCCAGTGCCTTACCTGGATAGTCTCTAGATGTAGGTATGAAGCCTTCTTGATTTTTGCACTTTTTTTCCCCTCAGGACTATCCAATATCTGGATGACACGTCTCTTCTTTGTGCCTTCCTTTGGTTGATCTAGAGGCATATAAGGTGAAGTAACAGAGGGTCCATCCTTCCTCTTCCTCTTTCCGACAGCCCGTTTGATAGATGGCGTTTCTCTGTTATTCTCATTACCACCTTTATCTTTTTGAGAAACATCTCTATAGAGTCGAGAAGTCATATAATTAACAAAGAGTTACACAAGAATTATATGGAAAATATAAAAATTAAAATTGCAAGAAATTTTAAAAACTAAACTCACCGAGCATCTTCTAAAATTCTCATGTCTCTTGCGCTCATCACAAAGTCATCACATAAATCGGCTTCCCCAGTTCCTTCCAAATTCTCATATTCCTTAGCTTCCATATCCTCTTTGATTTTTTTTCTTCAGTAACATTTCCGTCATCCTCTTTCTCCTTGGTTTTTTGGCATCTAGCACTACGCTCTTCTAATTCTCGTAATTCTGTAGTGAGCTCATTCAACTCGTACGTCTTCTCCGCAATTAAGAAAATTAATTCAGCTTTCCTTGATTCCTATTTGACAAAAAAGCTAGTATTAGTACGTATACTATAGTTGCAAACATAGATACTAACAAAAGAGACATAAAATAATGAACTATTAGAGCAACGATATGTACAAATACTATTGGCGATGCCGTATGAATAAGAGGAGTATTCTCTTGGCCATTATCCGTAACCAACTTCGGGACTCTATATAATTTGTTCATAGTAGTCCTCCTCCACTTTCCAGTACTCTTCACACAAAAGAGCAGCAGTAACCTTTCAACATCTGAAGTATACTCTAATTCCCCCACTTTTTCATAAAACCAAACCTACAAAAAAGAAACTACACATTAGCATGTACATAAACAATAATCATTATCAAAATGAAAAGATATACAAAATAATGTTCATGTAACTCACCAGTAAAATGGAGGAAAAACCACCCATGTACCCGACATTTGAGCGCTGACCTAATTCCCGCATACTAAGAGACTTCTTTGATTTACTCATCTCTTTGCAAAGAAAAGTGAACACCGCATGGCACCAATTATATTTATGCAAAGTTGATAACTGCTCCGCATATCTAAACGCCCACAAGGGACATGTCTTACATGTCCGCGGGCATAATATGAAGCCGATAATGAAAGCCACAATAAGTTTCACACATATTATAAGGTCTTCATTAATCATATCTACAATCATCTCGGCCATTCTATCGCGCTTCCCCGAAATCACCGCCTTCTTTTCCTCATCGGCTTTCTTATAATTCTTTACAAAATAGGTGTAGATTGTATTAGCCGCTGCCCCACTCATTTTTATCAGAATTCCCTCCTTTGGCAATCCGGTAATTCGGTGAATATCATCTATACCGAACACACAATTTTTATTCCCAATCATGAATGAGCATTTATCGGGATTAAAATTTTGAATCAAGCAATCAATTGTTATTTGCTCATTGCTCAAGGATGTGGGTATATTGAGAAAGTTGTGAAAAAGTGTCGTCTGTAGGGCTTTTATGTGTCTTTCATCTAATATTATTCGCTTATCAATTAAATCTCGAAAATAACACAAATTGGCCGGAATTCTCAAGTGTGTTATCTTAGCCCTACAAGAAAATTATAATTCAGAAAGAGTTAAAAGTTAAATATATTTGGGCAAATTAAGACGCATATTAACAAGTTTATTAACACAAATATTATACATCATGGCTTACAACACCGCCGCATATGACAGGGGCACTCTGATAAAATATCATAATTTCATCATTAGACTAACAAACAAAGTTTCATACGGGGTTTCTATATCTAACCAAATAACTATATAATGCATAACAGATTTGGGGAAGGGGAGAAACACATGCAAGGGGATATATCTCATCAAGCAATGACTTGTTGACAGAGACATCAGTAGGCGTCGGCAACAATTTCAACTTTCGACGCATATTAACACAAACATTTGAACTTCTTCAAAAAAATTACTTACGAAGTTGGAGGATTATTGCATTTAGAAGAGGTAGGCTTTGATTTTGAAGAATTCGAAGACGTCGACGCTTTCAATTTGTTCGAAGCCATGAGGGCTGACGTCGAGGGCTTGGTCGAGCTCCGGAGGCGGCGATGAACCTGAGGGCTGAGCTCAAATGCCATCGGAGGCGTGGCTGATGACGAGGGGTGAGTTCGATGGCGAGGAGGAGTAGACGGCGCTGACCCGGCGGCGACGCTCAGCGGCGGCGATCTCGGGAGCTGGAGAGGAGGAGGGGAGGTGATGGCTAGGGCAAGGGGACGGCGGCGACGCTGAACGGGGACGTCGAGGGCTTGGCCGAGCTTGGGCGGCGGCGCTTTCGGGCGGTGGTGAGGAGGAGGGGGTCGGTGATGGCGAGGGAGAGATGATGTTGACCCTATAGTTTTGATGATGATTTGACAAACAATTTATTACTAATAAGTTTTCTAGTGTTTTGTGTTTATGTTCTCTTTTCAGGTATTTCCACACACGTCAATCAAGCGTTAAAGATTCAAGTTCGTTTGCGTGGATTTTACCTAGGTATATTGTTTAGTTTACTTACATATATTGTATGATTATATCTAAGCTCAATATATGTACACGTAACACAATTTTTTGATGTTTTCTATCATATAAATGATTTCTCATCAAACGTTGTTACAATAACTTTTCTCTCATGCTTACAGCTCTTTAATATTTTCTTGTATACATAGAATATATGCATAACATATATAAACATATTTTCAAGTTCTATATTGACTTTCACCTTCATATAAAAACAGGTTTTCTAAGCAGTTTTCAAAAATGGGTGGTTTTCACAAACAAAAATTGATTTTCCAAAAATTCTTTTTTAAACATGTTTATTTTATCATTTAGAAACTTTCCCCAAAGTTTCATTACTTTTGGACTTGATTTGATATTTTTTCTGGATTTTCAAACTAACCCCAAAACCTGGAAATTTACGTATATCAGAATTCGGTCGACCGGTACGGTCGACCGACTGTTGTTCCGTTTCTGAGTAAACTTCCAGAGAGCCCTCCGGTCGACCGGAATTTATATCGGACGACCGAAATTTCCAATTCGGTCGACCGCTTTTTCCGTCGGTCGACCGACAGCTTTAATTCTTCGTTTCTCTGGGTTTTTGAACTAATCGGTCGACCGTACCGGTCGACCGACGAGTTGTCAGTATGAGCCTAACGGCTAGTTTTTTTTTAAATGGACTTTTTGGTCTTTTACTTATTTCTAGCTGTTGTATTGGGGTGCTATATATACCCCATTGCTGCTCTTCTTCTCTAACATCCAAGAAATCCAAGTTTGTTGTTTAACAAGATATTAATCGCGTTTAAGAGCTGTTTAAGAGGTGTTTCGTTAATCAGTTTTCAAGAGAAAGTTTTCTACAACAAGAAGAGGCTCTCATATTCCATTGGGATCATTTTCTTCAGCTCCTCTTGTTCATTGAGAAGTTTTTCTAAACTCTTTCCATATAGCTTATTATTTCACTTTCATTTGATTAAGCTATATTCATTGAGTTATATTTATTTTCATTCACTATTATCACACACACTTATTGAGCCTGATATTCTCATATTATATATTGTGGGTTGTAGTGTGGGATTTAGTGAGTGTGAGCTTTATTGTGTTCTCACTTGTTAATTGAGAACAAATCATTGTATTGAACCTTTATTTGTGAGATTCACTTGTAACACACTTGTACACCGAGAGAAGTGTGAGGAGAGAGAGACGGGGTCAAATCCAATAGGAGTGGCGTCGATTGACGAACCTAGGGAGAGGTTGTAATCGAGCACTTGAGGAGGAGGACACGGGCTAGGTTCCTACACTTAGTGTGTAAAGTGTGATTGTTGAGTGATTGTGTAGTGTGAGAGTTTTCGGTGAACTTGTAAACCGAGTGTGTAGAAGTTCCGGCTTCCAAACCGGATTGTGATAGTGGATATCTCCTCGAGGTGAGGAGCGGGGACGTAGGTCGTGGGGACCGAACCTCGTGAACATATCGTGTGTTTGTGTTTTGCTTTTGTCTTATATTTTATTTGTGTTCATATTCTTATTGTTCTTATTGTTCATATCTATCTCTTGCAAGAACATATTGTTCTATGTATAATTTTATTAACGCTTTTTAATTAAATTAGATTAGTATAAGAGCCCTAATCACCGCCGCCCTCTAGGTGCTAACAAATGAGAGAAGGGTAGGGATTTTGGGGGGATGAGATTTTTTCACGAAGGGCTGAGATCCTTTATTAGGTTTTATAATAAACCGTCCAAGATCGCGCATCTTCAAGAAGCAAGCCTACGGAGTCAGCCGCAGATTCACTTTTCGCTATATATATTTATGATATATCATATATATATATATATATATATATATATATATATATATATTATATATATTATACAGCACACACACACACACACATACATACATACATACATACATACATACATACATACATATATATAGTTTGAAATCTCATTTTAGAAAGCGATTTTGACCAAAAAATCCAACAATAACCATAAGGCTAACAATCTTTCCCTTTTTGATGATAACAGTCAATCTGCATAAAGAGTATATAAAATATGCATGATATCAAATGAATATATAATTTGTAATGCTCAGGCATAAAAAAAACCAAAGTAATATATACTCATAATATACATATTTCTCCCCTTTTATCAACATCAAAATGGGGACAAACAAAAAAAATTTGAGAGAGCGAAAGCTCTCCCTACCTAGATGCACGGTGAGTATAAAAACAAATAATAGGGAATTGCTCCCTCTATCAAAATGCCTTAATAAAAATATACAATGATGACCATGGAAAACATATGTGAGCAAGCATAGATGAAAAACATACTAATCATAATTCATATACAACAAGACCACGAGAACACATATAGATATATCAATATGAAAAAGTGTGTCTTAAAATACAAATATAAAAACAATGTATAAATAGATTTATGAAATCAAAAGAATAAAAATCATGAGAATCATGAAAAAAAAATATTTTCAAATGAAAACAAAAATGAGAATCATAAAAACTATGACAATCATAAAGGTCC